GCCAAAGGCAGGCGCCAAACCGCTGCGCCACCCAGGGATCCCATAGACAAAGGATTTCAAAAGACATTTCTCTAAAGATAAACAAATGGTCATCAAGGCCATGAAAAGATGTGTTAATATGATTTGGTATCTGGGAAATACAAATTAAATCTCAGTGAAGTACACTTAGGCCCAGCAAAATGGCTGCAATGAAAAAGAAAATCAGGAACGAGTATTGGCAAGGATGTGGAAAAATTGGAACTCTTTTGTTATTATCTGATCTAGCAATTCCATACTTAGGTATATACCCAAGAGAAATGAAAACATGTTTACTCAAAAACCTGTACATGAATGATCATAGTAGCATTATTCACAAGAGTCAAAAAGTAGAAACAACTCAATTCTATCAATTCATGAACAAATAGATAAAATGTGGTATATCCATACGGTTACCACTTGAACTGTGTTCCCAAAAAGGTCATGTTGTAGTCCTAATTCCTAGTACTTGTAAAATGTGACTTTATTTGGAAAAAGGGTCTCTGCAGATGAATTAGGTTAAGATGAGATCATTAAAACGGGCTCTAATACAATATAAGTAGTATTTTCTTTAAAAGATTTTACTTATTTATTCATGAGAGACACAGAGAGAGAGGCAGAGACATAGGCAGAGGGAGAAACAGGCTCCATGCGGGGAGCCCAATGTGAGACTCAATCCCAGACCCCGGGATCACGCCCTGAGTCGAAGGCAGATGCTCAACCGCTGAGACATCCATGTGTCCCTATAACTAGTATTCTTAAAAGAAGAAGCAAATGCCATGAGAACACAGACACACACAGACAGCCATGTGAAGACAAAGGGAGGGCTCAGAGTGATGCAAGAATGAGCCAGCAAGCCAATGAGCCGATGGACACCAAGGATTGACCGCCACTATCAGAAGCTGAGAAGAAGCAGGGATTCTACCAAGTTTCAGAGGAAACATGGCTCTGCTGGCACCTTCATTTCAGACTTCCAGCCTCCAGAACTGTGAAGACAATAGCTTTCTGTTGCTTTGAGCAATCTAGTTTGTGGTACTTTGTTAGAACAGCCATAGGAAACTAATACGGATTTTGGTACTGGGAAGCAGGGTACTGCTAATGAGTACCTAAAAATATCAGAAGTGGCTTTGGAATTGAGATGTGTAGAGACTGAAAGAATTTTTTTTAAAATTTTTTTAAATTTATTTATGATAGTCACACACACACACACACAGAGAGAGAGAGAGAGAGGCAGAGACATAGGCAGAGGGAGAAGCAGGCTCCATGCACCGGGAGCCCGATGTGGGATTCGATCCTGGGTCTCCAGGATTGCGCCCTGGGCCAAAGGCAGGCGCTAAACCGCTGCGCCACCCAGGGATCCCGAGACTGAAAGAATTCTGAGGTGTCTGACAGTAAAAGACAAGACTGCCTTGAAAAGATTTTTGTGGAAATATGGACTTTAAATGTAATAGGGTATCAAAGAAATCCAGGCAGTTTAATATTACAAGAGTGGTAGAAGACAAGTTGCATGGGATTAAGAGTGGAGAGTTAAATAAATCTAATCATTTTACAAGTTTAGGGAAAAAAGAAAGTAATTTCATTAACACAACAGCCAGCATCCCTAATTTAAGAACTAGTATACACAAAAATAAATTCAAAATGGATTAAGGGGGCAGCCCCAGTGGCACAGCAGTTTAGCGCCACCTGCAGCCCAGGGCGTGATCCTGGAGACCCTGGATGGAGTCCCATGTCAGGCTCTCTGCATGGAGCCTGCTTCTCCCTCTGCCTGTGTCTCTGCCTCTCTCTCTCTGTGTGTCTCTATGAATAAATAAATAAAATCTTAAAAAAAATGGATTAAGGACCTTAATATGAAACATGAAACCATAAAAATCCTAGAGAACACAGGCAGTAACCTCTTTGACACCGGCTGTAGCAACTTCTTTCTAGATATGCCTCCTGAGGCAAGAGAAACAAAAATAAACCACTGGCAATACATCACAATAAAAAGCTTCTGTGCAGTGAAGGAAATAATAAAACTAAAAGGCAGCCACAGAATGGGAAAAGATATCTGCAAATGACATATCTGATAAAGGGTTAGTATCTAAAACATACAAAGAACTTATAATACTTAATACCCAAAAAATGAATAATCCAGTTAAAAAAGAAGACATGAATAGACATCTTTCCAAACAAGACATACAGATGGCCAACAGACACATGAAAAGATGCTCAACATCACTCATCATCAGGGAAATACAAATCAAAACTACAATGAGTTATCACCTCACACCTACGAGAATGCCTAAAATCAACACAAGAAGCAACACGTGTTGGTGTGGATGTGGAGTGCAACTGCACCAATAGGTACTTACCCACAGAATACAAAAATACTATTTCAAAGAGTTATATGCACCTTGATGTTTATAGCAGCATTACTTACAACAGCAAAATTATGGAAATAGCCCCACTGTCCAGGGACTGATGAATGGATAAAGAGGACATGGCATATAAATATACAATGGAATATTACTCAGCCATAAAAAAGAATGAAAATTTTCCATTTGCAATGTTGTGGATGGAGCTAGAAGGAATTATGTTTAGTGAAATAAGTCAGAGAAAGACAAACACGATGTGATTTCACTCATATGTGGGATTTAAGAAACAAAACAAATGAGTAAAGGGGAAATAAAGGAAGAGAGGCAAAACAAGAAACATACTCTTAACTATAGAGAACAAACAGATGGTTATCTGAGGGGGGATGGATTAAATAGGTGGTGGGGAATAAGGAGTGCACTTGCTGTGATTAGAACCAAGTGTGGTGTGGAAGTGTTGAATTATGATATTGTAGACCTGAAACTAAAATTACTCTGTAGGTTAACTAACTGGCATTTAGATAAAAAAAAACTTAAAATAACAGGGGATCCCTGGGTGGCTCAGCGGTTTGGCGCCTGCCTTTGGCCCAGGGCGCGATCCTGGAGTCCCGGGATCGAGTCCCGCGTCGAACTCCCGGCATGGCGCCTGCTTCTCCCTCCTCCTGAATCTCTGCCTCTCTTTCTCTCTAGGCCTATCATAAATAAATAAATAAATAAATAAATAAATAAATAAATAAATAAATAAATCTTAAAAAAAAAAACTTAAAATAACAACTAGTATAAGAAAAATAAAATGTCATCGGTACTGTCTTGGAACTATAAGAGCTAATGTTACCTTGGAGTCAATAAATTTTTATTAAAATGCAAAAAACAAGGTCACAGATTATCTTCTCTCCCTCATTTACTTATACTAACTGGATAATTTAGGTAGTGTAAATGGCAAGTGGATTCTCTACAGATAATTTGGAAGAAGATATTGTTACTTACTGTAAGCTTGGACAAGTTACTCAGTTTTTTTGTCTACATTTTCTTACATAATGTGTTAATATTAAAGATGTATGGGGTAATTTCTGTACTAGGTTTCAACTTAGTTATTACCTACCTATCTCTTCTAAGTCTAGGTTATATGCCCTTCCTGAGTACATCCACAGCACTGAGCACTTCCTATACTGTATGGGAATCAAATGTTTACTTGCTGTAGTCCCATACTTCCTCAAAGGCTATGTATTCTTTACACATACCGTAAGTATCTTCTATATGTGGTAGACCTCCCCAAAAGGGTTTTTGGAATGAATCTTACTTCTTTTGTATTCAGGTTTTCCAAGCAATTTCCCACTTCAAGGACTTTCCATTTACTACTTCCTCTTTCTGAATTACTCTTTCCTCTCTTCTTCTGGCTAATTTCTAACCAAATTTCAGTCCTCAACTTACCTTTTAATTCTAGGAGAGCCTTTTTTTCTTCTTTAGAGTAGGCTCCCTGATGGAGCCTAACCACAGGGCTCCAACTCAGATCCTGAGATGAAGACCTGAGCTAAGATCAAGAGTAGGATGCTAGGATGCTCAACTGAGCAGGCACCCCAAGAGTTTTTTTTTTTTTTTTTTTTTTTTGCATCCCTCCGGAGAGGTTAAACCCCAGTTATAAGCTCACAAAATACATCATATTTCAACTCAAAATCTCCCTACCTGCTAAATTTCTTGATGAAGGCAAAAGTGGTCTGTTTACCGTTGCATCCACTATGCCTAGACAGTGTAGGCTAAATGCTGGCCGGAAGGTATTATTGGCAGCTATTATGGATAGTCAATAAATTATCTGAATAACTCTGTACAATTGTTTCTACTGGTGTTCTGACAGATAACTAAAATGTACTGAGAACACCAAAGTAGTACAGGAGGCACCGCCTGATGGTTCCTTATTACTGACCAACCATAAGCATTGCTTTTTCCTCACTGTACTGTAACAGGCCTTTCCCCCCTCTTTACCATGCTTATATTGCAGCCAGTGACAGGGACAGGACTCGACTGGCCATGCTGATACTTAAAGTTAGGGACGGTCAGTCTCTGAGAAAAGTGTGCACCAGCCAGGAACGTGCATCAGTTGGACAAGAGCTGAATCTGAGACCAGGTCCCGAGGAAAGCACCCGATGAGGCCATCCCTTCCCAAGGTCATTGCGAGTACTCAGGTCTCGTGTTCATTTTTGGCAAGTGATTCTGCCGCGATTTTCCGGTTATCTGACTAAAATTTTCTCCCATCTGACCTTTCATTCATTAGATGGTTGCAAACGCAGGCTGCCTAGGCTGCCTTTGTCGTCTCGTCCACCTCTTAAGGATGTTAAAAAGGTCCCTCAAACACTCGGTGTGGGGATGAAACAGGTGCAGAATTTGCATGACGGAGAAACAAACTATCTGCACCCTAGGAGGCGAGGAAGGAAGCACTGGTACCACCCTCCCTCCTTGCACCCGCGCAAACCCTCCACCGCCCTTCGAAGGTGGTCACCGGGCTCCTCAGCGGCAACGTTCACACGCTCCGTGGGGGATCCTGATCCCCCATCTGCTGAGATTCCAGACAACCTGTGCAAGGCCGTCCATTTCCCCTCCCTGTCCGCAACGCACCCAAGCCCTCCTGGCCCCCGTCACCTTGGCCGCCTGACCCATGGCTCTCCTCACCGCGGCGGCCACCTCTCCTGCGGTCGAGTAGCCCCGCCTCTCGGCGACCAATCACTGCCCGGCGTGGGCCATCCAACTTCGAAGTCCCGTTCCTAAAGTGACGCAACCAATCACCGCGCAGAATCCCCCTTTTAGCCCCGCCTTCCACGGAGGAACACAGGAGACGAGTATGCTACTGGTAAGACCGCGAGAAGCTGCCAAGCCCAACTACTGGAGAAAGGAAAACGGAAATGGCCTGAACGCCATGTTGGTTAGGGGCAGAGTCACTTCCGGTCTTTTCTGACGCGGTCAAGTGGAGGTGGGTGGGTTGAGATGTAGCGGGTGGCTTGGGGGTCTCTAAATTAATCCTAATGTTTGGGGGTTGGGGTTAACTATTAAAGAACCTTTATGTTAACGTTTCCCAAATGGGATTGGCTCCTTGTGAAAGCGCATAAGAGCCAAGCCGTAACTAGTACAACTGTCGTTAATTGGAATTCTGGCTCCCCAAAGCGCTGTTTGTACATTCTCTCCATTCCCGTTAAAGGTGAGGTAGAGTTACCTGCTCTAGACCTAGGCTAGAGGGGTGCCTGGGTGACTGGGTGAGTTAAGGCTGACACCTCTTGATTTCAGTTTAGGTCGTGAACTCTGGGTGGTGAGATTGAGTCCCCCTCCCCCCTCGGACTCCACGCCCAACGGGAAGTCTGCTTTTTCCCCTTCTTCCTCTCCCCTTTGCTCCTCTTTGCTCAGGTGTTCGCCAGCACACTCTCTCTAAAATAAATAAATCTTAAAAACAAAACCCATACAGCTGGTAATGGAGGTCTGAGACACAAATCCGTATGCCTGATCTCAAAAACCTAGCGTTAACCCTCTACGCAGCTCCCTACTCTGGTTTTGCTGGTCAAGAGGTAGAGAAATGTTATTTAAGTACATTTAACTTAGGACCTGGCAAACTTCAAGAAAAATCTCAACCTTTTCCCCCATCGCATAACCATTGCTTCTTTCCCTACTTACCAGCCTTTCAGCTTAATTTCTAGGTAAAACTGACTTTTAAGTTTTACCTAGTAGGAGAGAACGATTTGAAGCAATGGATCTTAAAGACCTTTTTCCTTCTCTGTGGTTTATGTCATTTTAAAGAATATTGCAAGTCATCAAAATAGCAAGATAATGGTTGACTTTTTAAAGTTATAATTCAGGGATCCCTGGGTGGCGCAGCGGTTTGGCGCCTACCTTTGGCCCAGGGCGCGATCCTGGAGACCCGGGATCGAATCCCACGTCGGGCTTCCGGTGCATGGAGCCTGCTTCTCCCTCTGCCTGTGTCTCTGCCTCTCTCTCTGTGACTATCATAAATAAATAAAAAATTAAAAAAAAATAAAGTTATAATTCATTAGATTTGCTAATGAGTGTTTAGCTTAACCAAGTTTTTTAATTTTTATTTTTATTTATTCACGAGAGACACAGCGAGAGAGAGAGGGAGAGAGAGAGAGAGAGAGAGAGAGAGAGAGAGAGAGAGAGAGGCAGAGACGTAGCGTGAGGGAGAAGCAGGCTCCTTGGAAGGAGCCCGATGCAGGACCCGGGGATCACGCCCCGGGCGGAAGGCGGCCCTCGACCGCTGAGCCACCCAGGCCTCCCTAGCTTAACCAAGTTAAACCAAATATACTCTGTACTTTTATATAGGAAACAATAGATGATCTCATAACATTGCATGATGGTGCCTTCTAATTTTTAAAGAATGATTGAAACATGCTTATTTTCATTTCTAATTTAGAATCCTTGCCCAATTTCCTGAAAATTCATAATTTATTGTTATAATTTCTGGCTAACTAGGCTCCTGTATTCAGTTAACTAAAACCCCTCATCTGCCAATACTTGAAAATACAGTTCCCACAGGGCCAAAATCAGTTCAGTACTGAAGCTTCTCTTAGGTAAACCTGTTATGGTTCCTTCAGCTGTTCCATAAACAAGATGACTATTTTGGTTATTCTACGAATATGTCCTGGTTTGTTAACATCTCAAAGCATGAGTCCCAGAACTGAACAAGAAATTCCAATTTGTTCATCCCATAAGTTCATGGAACTATAAGTAGGCAGAATAAAGCCCTCCAAAAGATGCTCCTGTTTAAATCCCAGGAATTTTTTTAATGTTACTTTCTGTGACAAAAGGGACTTTACAGATGTGATTAAATTAAGACTTTTGAGAAGGGAAAGTTATCCTGAATTATCTGGTGGGCCCAATTGTAAGTAATCAAAAGGCTGCTTGTAAGTGGAAGAAGGAAGCAGAGTCAGGGAGAGGTTTAAAGATGCCCTGCTTCTGAAGATGGAGAAAGAGGCCTCAAGCCAAGAAATGCAGGGAGCTTCTAGAAGGTAAGGTAAATGTTCTCCCCTGGAGCCTCTAGAAGAAATGCAGCCCTGCTAACATCATGATTTTAGCCCAGTGAAATTCAGATTTCCAACTTCCAGAATGTTACCTGTTTGTGTCCTCTTCCATCTTGAAAGCCAATAGTAGGGCATCTTCAATCTTTAACTGCCACCTCTGCTTCCATCATCATATCTCCTATCTCTCCCGTGTCCCTCTTTCATTTATGAATGCCCCCATGATTACATTTAGCCTACCTGGACAATCAGGAATCTCATCACTGCAAGATCCTTTAATGACATCTGGAAATCCCCCTTATCATGTAAAGTAACATATTCATAGGCTTCAGAGATTGGAACATGGGCATCCTCTGCCCACCACATGCAGTCTGGTTAACACTGGTCAATAATCTTGAAATGCATGGGCCTGAGATCATGTGAGAACCCTATGCGCCAAGGTAAGGATTTTGGATTTAATTCTGTGATGAAATGCTTAATAAGCAAGACAATGAGATCATGATTTGTATTTTACAAAAATCACTTTCTGTGCTGAATGCCAAATTGACTATAGTGGAAGCAGAAGCAAGCTGGAAGGCACTCAAAGTACAACGGTTTGGATTAGGGTGGTGTAGTAGAAGAGGTGAAAAGTGACTGGATTCATAATATATATTCCAAGTGTAAAAGAGAGGAGTTAAGGATGATTTCAATGCTTTTGATGTGAGCTATTTGGTGGATGGTACTATGGTAGACGTAGAATTTGCAGGAGGAGATTTTATCATTTGTTTTTTGTACAAAGAGTAAAAATAAATTTGAAGTGCCTGGTAGACATCCATATGGAGGTGATAAGTAGGCAGTAATATATATACCATAGGCCAATCTAGAAAGGGGAAAGGTAGGTCAGGAGATGATACATGCTGGAAAATCATTGTTCTGCAAATGATAAAGCCTTAGTGAAAAGTGACCACATTTATTATCCAAACCAATATATATCTCTTCTTAATTTTGTATTTTTACAATTTCAGTCTTACAGGAAAGTTGCAAGAATAACAGGATTTGCATATACCTCTCACTTGGATTCCCCAAATGTTAATATTTGACTACAATCACTGTATCCTTTTCTCTCTACATATGAACATTTTTTGGTATTTATTGTTTGAAAGTGAGCTGCAAATGTGATACTCCTGTACTCCTAAATACTTCATTATTTTTTATTCCTGCAAAAAAAAAAAAAAAACAACCCACAGCAGTCTCTTATATCAGGGGCACTCAAAGTATGATTCCAGGGCAAGCAGCAAATGTATCACTTGGAAACATGTTAAAAACCTAAACTCTAAGACTCCACACCAGATTAACTAATTTTGATAATTTTGCTGTGGTTATGTGAGGAAATTAACGCAGCTTTCAAAACTATCTAATTTATAGGCATTATTTAGAATTTTGCCAATTGTCCCTGTAATGTCTTTGATAGCAACGGTAGCAAATGTGCCACTTTTGAGATTCGAAGGATCCACTATCAATAATTTTTATTAGCAAGGGACAAGACAGGACAAACTGGTAAAGTATTATCATGTTGAGTACTCCTGGAGCTACAGTTAATTTTTCTTAACAAGGGCATGTAGAAATTAAATGTTGGCTAGAGAAGATGGCTAAGTATGGAACCTATTATGAAGTCTGGAACTGGAGGCTTACTGTGAGGTTGAAATAAGCAACCAGAGGGATAGGAGACAAGACTACAAACGTGAAGACTTCCTGAAAAGAGGAAATGATCAACATTAGCAAATGATGCTAAGAGGTCTAGTATGATAAGAAATGGAAATGTTCCGGGACGCCCGGGGTGGCTCAGCCGTTGAGCCTCTGCCTTCTGCCCAGGGTGTGATCCTGGAATCTCAGGATCAAGTCCCGCATTGGGCTTCGTGCATGGAGCCTGCTTCTTCCCTCTGCCTGGGTCTCTGCCTCTCTCTGTGGGTGTGTCTCTCATGAATAAATAAATAAAATCTTAAAAAAAAAAAAAAAAGGAAAGGAAAGAAATGGAAATGTCAATGTCCACAGAATTTTTTAAGTGGAGGTCCTCAAAAACATTGGCAAGAGCGAAATGGGTTTAGAAAGGATGAGAGGGTAGACACAGAATAAAGAAAAGTTTTAAAAAATCATCAAAGATATGAGGGGGTATGCCAAATTAAGGAAGGTGTTATTTCGTTAAGATGGGGCATAACTGATTACTCCTGGGGAGAAGTCTTTGTTTTACAGTGGAGGGAGAATTACCAACTACAGATGCCTGAGTCCCGACTCCGGAGTCTGATTTAATCGATCTGGCCAGGTTCAAGAGGATTTTTCAAAAGTCCCCCAAGTGATTTTAACGTGCACCGAAAACAACTGCTCTAGAGAGGAAAAAGCAGTGGTGCAAACAGAGCTGACTTCCCGGAGCCCAGCCCTTCTGTAGCCGAGAAGTTAAGTTTAGGGTGTCTCAGCACGCATGACCAGCACTTTTTGGATCATCAAATCTTTTCAGTCACAGTATCTAATTTTTCCTACAAGTTCCATAAAGCAAGTGAAGAAGGGCGTATACAGTAACTCTACTCCCCAAGACACACTCAAGGAAATTTAAAAAAAAAAAAAAAAAGACCTCAGCGCGGCTCCCTAGAGCCCCAGACCGGGAACCTCCCTTCCGCCGGGTCTCGACCGGCAGCTCTGGGAGGCTCCCGCGCGCTCTCCGCACCCGCCGCGCAGCGGGCTAGTGCGCACGCGCAGGACCAGTCCGGGCGCCCAGGCAGCGGTCCCCGCGCAGGCTTGGCCGCGCACTCCCGCCCTCCGCCCGCCGCCCGCCGCCCGGCTCCTCCCTCCTCGCGAGCTTCTCCCCGGGGCGGCCGCGCGGGAGGAGGCCGCGATGGCCGATGAGATCGCCAAGGCTCAGGCCGCCCGGCCTGGAGGCGACACGATCTTCGGAAAGATCATCCGCAAGGAAATCCCAGCCAAAATCATTTTCGAGGATGACCAGGTAGGCAGCGGGCGTCGCCTCGCCGGTCGCCCGAGGACACGCGGGTTTCTCGCGGACGGAAGGGACGGGAAAGGGTCGGGCGGCGTCGCCAAGGGAAGGGAGTCGGCCGCCCCGCACGGCCTCCGCCGCGGGCCCCCAGCCAGCGGGCAGGGCCGCGGCCGCCCCGAGGCCGCCTGCCGGCGCGTGCCGGCGCTCCGGTTACGCGTTATCAGCCCGGGGCGCGGGTCAGGCTGCCGGGCGCTCGCGGGGCCGGCCCCGCGGCGTCCGGGCGCGTGTGGGGGCCGCGCAGGCTCCGCGGCGTGGGTGCCCGCCTGCCCCGCGGCCGCCTGGGACCCCGCCCGGGTCAGGAATCTCACAATCTCGCCCGCGCTCTGCCCGGCGGGGAGAAATCCGATCGCGCCCTGAGTAGGGCCCAATCTCCGCGATCTCCCGCGCGCAGCCTGCTCGCCTGGGCGCTCCCGGGCGCCGGCGCGCCACAGTGCGGGAGGTCGGCGGGGGCCGCCTCGGCGGGGTGGGCGAGCCGGCCCGCCCCTCCCCCGCCCGCTCGGGCCGCCGCTCCCTGGGTCCGCGGCGGGGATTTGTTTTCCTTTGGTCCCGCCGGGTACTTGACGGGAAGCACGTAGTTTTTGTTGACTTCATCGTCGGTGAAATTCCGTGTCCGGCGGGCCGAGTAGATGTGACATCTTGTGTAAAAGACTTCCCGGGCAGTTGTATTTATGGGTTTGGATCTCAGATAAAGCTGGGCAGGAGGTTGGCCCATCCAGACAAATAATTTTGCAAACTGTCAAATTCAAGAAATATGGAGCATCGGGGAAGCATTCTTTTTATACTCCCAGTAGCGTTCTTAGATTCAAAACGTTACCTAAGATTTAATTAGATTCTTCTAGGTGGACTTTATTTAGGTAGCTTTATTTATTACCAAGTTCTTTTGTTCTAGAAAAATGCGTATTTCTTTTTTTAAGTATTTTCACTTGCTTTTTTTTTTTTTTATAAATGATGCCTGAAATATTGATTTTTGAGCCACCTAAGACCCAACAGTACAACTGCATGAAGCAATCTGAATGATACAGCATTTTGTATGGATTACCAAATAGAATTAGTCCTGAGACCTTTGAGCCTGGAAGGTCCTATTAAGCAGCTTCCACCTTGAGTAGAGAAGAAGAGATTTTAAAAATTCATGTGGTTTTATAATTTGTCTAAATGCTACTTCAAAAAGAAAAGAAAAGAAAACCAAACAGGTATATTACTTAAATAGTTGAGTAGGGTGGGAAGAAATAGATGTCAGTCAAAATATCAAATACATAATTACAAAGCTGATCATTGTAGTAAACAAAAACAGGAAATTGCACAATCAGGACTCCTAACCTAGGGAAAGTGGGGTTGGAAATCAGATTTCTTTCAGAAATTTTATATATGCTGGGAGCTGAGGAATAAATATCAGGTGAAGACAGAACTTGGGGTTGAGGGGAGAGAAGACTATTGCAGTAGAGGGAATGGCCTTTGAAAAAAAGCCTGGGAGTGTGGAGAGAGATGAAAGATACTGTGATTTGAGAAGAGTTGCATGAGATCAAACTGAAGAGATAGACAAAGGATTATCATGCCTAATTTCTACTTCACTTTTGGATCTCACTTTAATATATGTGCTGCCGAAGCGAGCACTGGATCTCACTTTAAATGTCCCTACCTCAGAGTGGTTGTCTTTGATTCCCTGGTCAAAATTTGGCTTTTTCTGTGATAATCATTTATTTCAGTCTTTACTCTTCTTTTGTAATGTGTAGGTAGGATCTTAACTTTTTTATACCTTTATTGGTTTAAGGTCAGCCTTTCCATTAGACTAAGTTCCATGAAACTGACCATGGATCACATGTATTGTGTACACTTCTGATTTCCTAGCAGTGCTTCTCATGGGGCTAGTGTGAAAGAATAAATGTAGCCTATAAGATAATATACTAAAACTGGTTTTTCTTCCCTTTTTCTCTAGTGTCTTGCTTTCCATGACATTTCCCCTCAAGCACCAACTCATTTTCTGGTGATACCCAAGAAGCATATATCCCAGATCTCTGTAGCAGAAGATGATGATGAAAGTGTAAGTAAATTTACTAACACAATTGATTTCCTTGCCTTTTTTTTTTTTTTAACTTGGGAGACTGGGCAGCCTGGGTGGCTCAGCGGTTTAACGCCGCCTTTGGTCCAGGGTGTGATCCTGGGGACCGGAATCAAGTCCCACATCTGGCTCCCTGCATGGAGCCTGCTTCTCCCTCTGCCTGTGTCTCTGCCTCTTTCTCTCTCTCTGTGTGTCTCATGAGTAAATAAATAAAATCTTTAAAATAAATCTATAGGGATCCCTGGGTGGCGCAGCGGTTTGGCGCCTGCCTTTGGCTCAGGGCGCGATCCTGGAGACCTGGGATCGAATCCCATATCGGGCTCCCGGTGCATGGAGCCTGCTTCTCCCTCTGCCTATGTCTCTGCCTCTCTCTCTCTCTCTGTGACTATCATAAATAAATAAATTAAAAAAAATAAATCTATAAATAAATTTGGGAGACTAAATTTTGACCTGAAAGTGATGTCACATTTTCATTTTCTTGAGGGTATTATTGAGGGGGGAGAAACACAATCATTTGGAAGTCAGTGCAATGTAGAAAAAGTTTGATTTCTTAAAATTGATATAGTTGACACATAAAATTATGTTTTAGGTGTGCAACATAATGGTTTGATATATGTATATTACAAAATGATCACCACAGTCAAGTTAACATCCATCACCACAAATTCTTTTTTTTTTTTTTTAATTTTATTTATTTATTCATGAGAGACACAGAGAGAGAGTGAGGCAGAGATACAGGCAGAGGGAGAAGCAGGCTCCATGCAGGGAGCCTGACGTGGGACTCCATCCTGGTCTCCAGGATCACGCCCTGGGCTGAAGGGAGCACTAAAGCACAGAGCCACCTGGGCTGCCCCATCACCACAAATTCTTAAACACAATGGTTCCTAACAAGAAATAGTTGGTGAGACCCATTTTTCCTTTTTTTTAAAAGATTATTTATTTGAAAGGAAGAGCAGGAGTACATTTGAGCAGGGGTGGGGCAGAGGGAGAGGGAGAAGCAGGCTCCCCACTGAGCAGGGAGCCCCAGGCTGGGCTTGATTGCAGGACCCTTAGATCGTGACCTGAGTCGAAGATGCTTAACCAGCTGAGTCACCCGGGCAACCTTCATTTTTCCTCAATAAAGAAATAGTACGTCATACAGGGGAGAGTTCAGTGATTCTGTTTCTGTTAATGATTTAAAGGAGAGAAAAATCATTATTTGGTTTTGCCAGACATATAGGCCTTAATTAAATGTTTTCCTAATGCTCCTTGTTTATAAATACTGGTTCTTCTTCAGAAGTGCTTTAATACTTCCTGCGTTATTGAGGTCAGGCCTGGTCATATGACTTGATTTGGCTGGCAGTTGCAAGCAAAAGTGATATTTCTTGCATAGAAACTATAAGAGAGGGGATCCCTGGGTGGCTCAGCGCTGCCTTTGGCCCAGGGTACGATCCTGGAGTCCCGGGATGGAGTCCCACGTTGGGCTCCCGGCATGGAGCCTGCTTTTCCTTCCTCCTGTGTCTCTGCCTCTCTCTCTCTCTCATGAATAAATAAATAAATAAATAAATCTAAAAAATTCTTATATAAAAAAAAAGAAACTATAAGAGACTAGCACTTGGTTATGTTGTGGCTTCACTTTGCCCCTATGGTCTTACAGAGACTACTCCATCAGCCTGGGTTTCAAAGTGAAAAAGATGAGGAATTTAGAGCCTAGTCAACTTGTGATGAGCATGTAGTGAGCACAAGAAATATATCTTTGTTGTAAACCAGTATTTGGGGTGGTTTGTTACCACAGCTTAACCAAATCTAGCCTGATTGATACACTCTCCTGTTAAAAGAAAGGAAGATATATTTAACATTTAAACAACCCACTTGGAAAATGAT